TCGAGACTCGTGTTATTCCGATGGACAACCACAACAACGACAACTTTTGAGTAAGTTATTTTAGAAAGAAGCAAAAAATTAATTTTACGTTATGATATTATTAGTTCTTTATAAAGAATGTTTTTTATATTATTCGATTTATTCAATTAAATATATAACATTAATTTTGAAAGTATATATAAGTATATACATCTGTTTTTTTAACAGATTTGATAATATCCATTTTGCAATTTCTTGAAGACATGCCACACGATTTGATGGAAGAATGTAAGAATGTAATTACATATGAATATATGAGAAGAAAGATTGATTATAAATCGATACATAATGATCAAAAATTTTCATTAGAAATATCTAAAATATTAGTAGTTTATGCACAAAAAATTGTAACAAATATTTAAATATATATGCAGCCATCGATCATAGAATAATAAGCGTAGAAATCGTTAACATTGTAAAACTAATTTTTTAACCAATACTCATAACAATAATGTATTGTAACATTAGTATTATTAATAAATAAATTAACATTATTAATGACTTATTAATAATTTGGTCCATCTCATATTTATAGATTGATACTAGATTATAAAATTAAATTTTAAAATATAAAATTTTTTTATGACTATATAATAAGCATATTGTGTACGTGAATATTCTATTTATTACTTGGTAAATTTTATTGTCCAAGAATTTTATAGTTATAATTTAATAGCTTTATTAAATATATATGATGTGTTTGTATATTTTTAAAGTAACTAAAAAATTAATGTGGATAGAAAAATTTTATTTTATTAGAAAAATTGCCATAATTAATTGTAAATCAAATATTTCGAAACAATTCTTTTACTTAAATATTAATGATTGAATAGAGACTCTAAATTTAAATAAAAAATATATATACATAATCATTGTGTGTATAAAAGATTTAATTATAAACGCTGCACAATATTTATGTATAAGCATATATTAGTAGAAATTAAATATTTACATTTTAATTTAATAAAAAAATGTTATTTAATTTATAAACTAATAACAAAATATATTTAAATATTAGAAAAATATGCTAAGAAATAGCGCATGCATTATTATACAAGTATATAAAAAAAAAGAAACATATAAGTAAATAAAGTAACGGATAAAAGGAGAAATAATCAACATTAAGTATTGCGTGGGCGTTTGATTTTGGAATTTATTCTGAGCTCTTTATTGTGTGACGCGAAATGCTTAGTAAATGTAAGACAAGTCTCTTGTCTTTGTCTTTACATATTTATAATACATGGCATTTTTATGACATTTGGTTACCCTCTCTACTTTCAGTTTTCATATTTATTATAGTACCAGACTTTTAACTATTACAGTTTCGAAGCAACGAAAGAAGAAAAACGAAAGTAGGAACGACATAATTTCAAATATAAGAAGATTGTGGAAGCAGTACTTACGATTGTAGTTGATTGTCACAAAAATCATAATTGTCACACAGCAGGCCTAGCGTTTTTTGTGTGGATTGTGTGGAGCAATCCACACCCCAAAATCAGGTGGGTGTGGATTTTCACACCTGAAAAAATCCACACCCACGTTTATATATTAACTATGCGAACTATAAAGAAAATAATGTAAATCATGAGATTTGAATAAAAAAGAAAAAATTTAAAAAAAATTTGAAGAAATTTGAAGAAAAAATTTATGTACTTTTGTACTGAAAATTTTATCAACTACTGGTGGAATGTGGGAGAGGGGGGGGGAGAATTTTTCATCAGAAATTTCCACAGTATTCCACATTCAGAGCCAAGACAAATCGCCGGGCCTGTAATACAGTATGAATGAAAAGATAAGAGCCAATAAAGAAGTGATGAAAATGTTGTAAAAAAGAATAAAACTTATGTTAGACATTTTCATTCCGTTTCAAAAAGGAACCACGAGATATGTATCTGATGTATCTCTCACAAATATAATAAAATAATAGTGACAAGTTGAAGCTTTTTCTCGTGTCAATTCGGTTTTACATCATTCACATCATTATTACAATTGTGAACATAATTTAAAATTTTCTTTATCAAAGTATTCTTTGTTATATTGAATATATTTATTATATTATTTATTATATTATTTATAATATATAAATGTAGTAATGTTTAAGAACTTTATTATATTTTTCTGATCTAATACATATAATCGTTATCTGATTTTTGTCTCGTATATACACACAAACAATTTTTTCTCATTTCATAAAACTTGATTTTTTGTAAAAAAAACAATACAAAAATTATTCTTTTAATTATTTTTTATGTTTTCTTTTTTTATTATTATCATTTTCCTTGTATCAAACAATAATTTTAAAAAGAAAAGAAACATATATGGATATGTGTGGACATATTTTTCATATAATTATGTATAATTATATATAATTATATGTTTTTACATATGTTTATATATATTTATATATATAATATATATAATATATAATATAATATAATATATGTTCTTATACGAACAATTTTTTCCGGTATACATATGTAAGTACATAATATACATTTGAAAGAATTTTATTTTAAGAATATTACACATTTGTAAGAATATTATTTTTCTGACGCATACTCGGATGTGTTACAGACATTTTTAGTATTTTTTAAAATAAATTTATTCGTGTCCTAATGGTGACGACCGTTAGTGGCGGTACGATCAAACTATTATCCAGTCCAGCAAAATATGCTTCAAATGATCTATTGCAAAGAGAAAAAGTATCTGCTTTAATTGATGAATTTGACGATTATTTAAAAATCTTCCTATCTAAAAAAGTGCATGTTAAATCGATAGTCGAATCTATCGAAATCTCTAAAGTTATTTGTTGACTCTTTTCCGCGACGGTTATTGGTTCTCTCGCTGCGCTAACTTCGTGAGCGGTTGTCATCGTGGAGATTTTGTACTGAGGTTATTGTATGTACTGAGGTTATATATTTAATGTTGTGTCATTATTTATTTAGTGTTGTGGTAATCACATCAGCGCTTTGTGTAGTGTCTGGTGACTCTTTTTCGCAACACTGATTAGTCGCT